TGTAAAATAAAGTTCTTTGACTGATTTAAAGTGTTTTATAAATTAAAGTTGGCACGATTGATTGTGAATTTTTTTCCATTATATAACAAAAATAAAATACAAAAGATTTAAACTCTAACAATAACAAATGCGATTTGCCGTGTTCTTTTCGTTAACTAAATAATATTGTGGCGCTTAATATGACGAGTCTTAGACACTGACATAAACCTTGCGAGATAAAAGTAATCTTTGACAAATAAACTATCTTTGTTAAGTTTTAAGATTCCTAAAGTGTTCTAATAAAATAATAAAAGCTAATAAAAGTGACAATTCGGGTAGGCTCATTGTTTTACCTACTCATGATTAACTTAAAATTTTCTTATTAAGGTCATGCTTGAAGTTCGCCCTTAGTATCGACATTTTTGTCTACTTTATAAAGAAGATCTATCATGATCTTGCCTGTTCTATCCTACTTCGAAATTTTCTTAGTAGAATATCATAAAACATAATTGAAGTATTGGGTGAAACCTTGGTACACATTTGTAATGAGGATTGGAGAGGATCCAACTTATTAGAACGTATTTACAATGTACATTAATCTTCGAGTGGAAGCACCCCTGGCGTACAAACTGAACCCATTTTGTTGCTATCAGACCAACGTCCGCAAAACTACGAAGGGGACCAGTTGTTACTACGCTGTCGTATTGAAATCATTTAGTTAAAAAAACACATTACATTGATTTAAATTCTCTTACACTGATGCCATTAGACTATTTAGTCTAATTATTTCGAATTAGTGAATCGATAGAAGACATGCCTTCGAAGATAAAGGCTGTACGTGTTTCTGTATGTGCCGTTTCTATACAAAAACATACCTTGTGGTTCTACATAAAACTACTTAAAAGATCTGGGCAAATATACAGGAGTCGTTTGACAACACGTTTAATTAATCGCTGTACATTTCTTTAATTACCTTACAAATAAAGTTTTAAAATACCATTTTTTTTACATATAATCAAAGTTACCCTTGCAACTTTTGGTTTTTGAGTCCTCTAGTGGGTCAGCGTTAATTTTGTGGATTTACACTACTAGAATGCGGGGTTCGAGTCATAGAGTGCAGAAAGCCTAATATGTAGCTTTGCACGAAAACAAACATAATTTCTGGTTTTTGAATTCATTTAAAGAATTTGACATATTATCAACTATCTCAGACTTATTCTACATAACCAATAATATTTTACTTACCAAAGTAATTTCTGGATACCTTACATATAAACTGGATAAATGCACAAAACTTTACATGATATTTAATGGCAAACCGATAATGACAATACATATGATAACAATTCGTTTAGGTTTCACAGAAATAATTTGTATACATGTATACACAGCGATGAAGCAAACAAATGAGTGCAGAAAGAAAAGAATTGATATTTAACATAATTTTATCTTGTAAGTGGGCAGCTGTTTAAGGTGAGCCACAATATGTGTCTTTATAAATAAAGAGAAATGTATAATTATATTATTCTTAGTTATATTGTACAAAAGTATTTAAAAAGATCGCTCAAATTAATATATAACATCATAGTAATATGATAAAAACATTTAACAAACGTAAACATCAGTTGTATACGGGGACAATGCTTTCTGTTATAGCTGAGATTAATTCGATAACAGAAACTCTTGTCAGAAGAGTACTTTAGTTCCAGTGTAAAATTGTATACAAGCTAAAACTCACCCAAAGTTGAAGATTGGTGAAATCGTGGAGTAGACAAAAGATAAAATTTGTTCTTAAGCACACTGTATTTAAAAGTTCTAAACACGCAAACACAAACCTTAGTATTTCTTACTGTAATTTGGATCTGAATGTATCTTAGGAATCTCCCGCACCCCTCAGCCGCGATGTAGCAATAAATGAATAGACTAAAATACGGAAGATGAATCTACTCAGAAAGAAAACTTACAGGAACTTATTAGGAAAATCATTAAATATTGAGTTCAATCAAGTATGAATCAATCAAATCATTTTATGATATTCATTGTTATATTAATCCCGTAGGTAACCTAGTCCCCCAAGATTAGGCGATTCTAGGTCTTTATTGGCAAGCAAAATATTCATAAGAAAAAAATGGGAAACTCATCATTGTTGTTAGATAATGTTGAAAGTTTGACTTGCGTAAGAGAAAGATACAAGTACTTTTTTTTTTCTTCATTTACATCCTTAAGCGTATTTTCTTAGTCAACTCTAGCTGATTAGACATAGTGTACAGAACCATGGTTTAACATACGCTAAACTTAAATGACGACACGAAAGTATATAATGCATGTTGCAAAAACTTCTAACTGGCTTTCTTTACGAGAACCTACCTGTACTGCACTAGGACTGGAACTGAGCTGAGGTTTTAGTACATCAAACTAAACTTTAAAAAAACTTTTAAATAACCCCATCAATTTTCCAAACATGGTCTCTATATTTTAGCTAAATTGATACAGACCGAGAGATATTAGACAAAAACACATAAGTTCTACATAAAAAGCATCTATTCTATCTCCTCAACTAAGTTATTACAAAATAATCACTTCCAATTCTTATTTGATTGTCGGATCAATAACGTAAGAAGATTAGTTTATGTTTAGTATGGTCTAACAGACTCATGAGGACTGTGACGGATTTATTATTCTATATTTATTTTAATATCGATATTTGTTTAAATTTAATTTATATTTAGAAATGTACATAAATTATACTGTTAAATATGTATTGCGAAACTCCCACCTATTTTCTAAAGTTGTAAAAGATTCTCGAGTGTGAGGATCAACAATATGCGTGTGTGTGTGTACGTAAAAGTTAATGTAGCTTTGTATTGTTACGTAATCTGTATTTTCAAGAAACTCTCCACACGCCTATAAATATAACAAATGCGACGCGCCAAAAAACAGTATATATATTATTGGTTTGCTATAGTTTGTTTGCTATAAACTTTGGAAGCTATAACCGTAATTATTATAGCGCTTATTAATCGGGAAACTTAAGATATTTGACTAGGAACGTTTATAAATTTCGAATATTAGAAACCATTTAACTTCAGTGGATTCACATCAGACATTAGTGCTTTCACGAAAACATTACCTAACGTCATCGGCGTGTGATCAGTGAGAGCTACAGAGCTAGCTAGCTCCCTGTTAAGTGAATTATACCTACATAAATTCGAAATTAACTCGCTCATCGTCAACCTTCGATAAGATATCAAGGAAGTTCCAGACTAGAAAGAAGACTTTGTATTGTAAGTTTGTGGAACTTTTGTATATAAATCATCGTTCGTAATAACTATTTGTAATAGCTGTTATTGTAAATTGTATTGTGGTTTATATATCAAAATACATTTGTATTAAAAAAGAAAACTGTGTGTATCAATCTTGTTGGCAAATATCATAACTTGGAGTTATATCGGTAAATATTTAACTACTAAATCTAAATTACAATTTAACTCAGTTTTAGGCTATTAGAAATTGTCTAATGTTGTCAGTAAAATGATGTGACACTTGTTAGCTTCGTCTAATGTTGGCGGTAAAATGATGTGACACTTGTCAGCTTCGTCTAATATTGGTGGTAAAAAGATGTGACACTTGTCAGCTTCGTCTAATACTAGCGGTACAAAGATGTGATTCTTGTCAGCTTCTGCCTGAAAATAGTCAAAGTGGACTTTTACAGCCAATCAAAGTCTATAAATATAAACAATCTATAAATATTATAGAATTAAAATTATAAATGGTTAGGACTGACATAATTTACCCAAAGTTACATGAGTTTGTGAGTAATTGTTCCAGTAACTTACTCCTCACCGAATTACTTAATCTAATTTCCTAATCTATTACATCCAGACGTTAAATATCGTTAACGTATACAAGTATACTGAAACTTGTTGTCCAGATATTAGAATTAAAATAAGCCAATTACAGCCGTAGAATATGTGATAATTACAACAATTCATATACATAATTGGACACTGTGTGACTTTACACAGATATATGATTATAATATAAAGAATATAAAGATTCATAGTACTATTTCGACTACAAAGAACAAAATTTATCTCCTTTTGTTTTATAGAATTAATTCCATGTTTTGTCTTTATTTCTATATTTTAGGTGTCTTTTTCGAAAGGGACCACTAGCAGCAAGAGTATCCAACTAATTACCTAGGGCATAGTGATCATAGATGCTCTTTGTAGTTTACTTGCTACTCATAATTCAGACTACCTATTATTAATTGTAATTATCATTGTAGAATGTTAGCAGATATTCGGGTGCAAATTATTACATATCTAGAAACAGGAATAGGCAACATATTAAGCTTTGTCACTTTTTCAGGATATCAGTAGGTCTCAAAGCAAATATTAAAATAAATAACACAAGCATTATGTAAGATATGTCATATCGTAAAAATATGTTTCAGCTGTATTAAAGCATAATGATGTTATCTTAAATGCAATTTTAATCGGGAAAGGCTTATTCTATAATATTATTTGATAACAGAAGACGCGCTTCATGTACCGTTATAAAACACGTGTGATTGTCAAATAGGGCGTCAAGTTCATTAGCGTGGTAGTTGTTGACTGTAGTTGACTTTTTTTAAATATATTCTGTTGAAAGTAAACTGTACAGCGAAGATTATCGAGCTTATGTACTCTTTAGAAAGTTCATCTTAATTGCTCACTTCGAAGTTTTAAAACTGGATAAAAAATTAATTTTACGGTTGAGCTATTGTTATGGTGATTACAACTTGAGTTTTATAAACATCATATTTAATCTGGCGAAAAAAGAAACAGCTTAGCTAAGATGGTTTCGTCTATCTATATATTTTGGATCACTTCATATTGATATATCGTAGCCAAAGGTTAGCTGATCTAAACACAGCTTGATTTTTTTGTTATCTAATCACGTGTACTTGTATAAATATAATACTCTATACCAGATCGTAGTCAGTTTCATTTCCTCTAAGCTTAAGACATGCAACTAGGTTTATCCTAACATCAATAAAAATGATATGCAAATAATGCAACAGTTTTGATTACGGATCATTCAAAGTTTTTCAGTTATGCAAATCACTATGTCCTAACTAATCGCGTATTGTTAAAATGATAATAAGTTGGGAATAGAAGTGATCTAATTTTTTAAGGTTTCTGACTGTGTGGACGAGAAACAGGTGAAAACAGCTGACCAGGGCAAAAAATGTGGGAGTACTATTAGGTAAGAAGTATATTTGTAAATATCATTTTCAGTTTCATTCAGATTTTAAATCACAGTATAAAATGTTTTTTAAATCTTTTAACTCTCAAAAAGGTATGAAAAAAAACGTGGAAATAGTTTAATTTATTAATTGTTGCATTAAACATTTTTGTTAACATATAAAATAAATTATCAATTGCCATTTTCACTTTTTTGATCCCTAATAGCTCAGTAGTAAGTTTGCAAACTTACGACACTAAAAGTGTGGTATCGTTACCAGCGAAAGGCAGAGCATAGATCCCTTGTGAGCTTCATGCATAACAACAATTTAAACCAGAACACTTCACTTTTTAGAGGCCCGGCATGGCCAGGTGGTTAGGGCGCTCGACTCGCAATCTGCGGGTCGCGGGTT